TTATTGGATCCAGATGTACAAAGATATATCATTTGGTCCCTCCTGTGAGAACAGAATATAGTTGACAAGCTGAGATATGACATTACTATTACTTGGGATTACAACCTGTTATTATCAAAGTACACATGTGAATTTACTTTATATATGGAACTTGGATGATGTAAAATCGGGTTACTTTAAGTCTGAATAGAAAGATTTAAGACAGGTCACTTAATTGTATATAAGAGTCTTAGGGGGTTATTCACAAAGCTAGCCGAAGGATCAGCCGTAGCTACGGCTGATCCTTCAGCTAGCTTCGGCCGCCTGAGCCCTCTGGTTCATTAGAACCGAAGGGCTGCTGTACGGGCTATCCACTATAGCCCGTACAGTTCCTGAAGCGGGCCGAACGACTGGCAATTGGCCGGACGAAAGCCTGCATCTCACGGCTGGCTCCGGCCACTTGCAATGACAGATCAGCATCCCCTGGTTACCGGGTAACCAGGGGGTGTTGAACTGTCATTACAATGAAAACTCAGCTCCCCCTGGTTACCCTCGGGCAGCTCGGTGACCGCCAGCCTCGCCTGCACACTGAACATGAGAAGCAGCCACAGGGCTGCCAGCCTGGCTCTACTCATACTGCAGCCAGCAGCAAGCATCCATAGTGCAGCCTCCCAGTCCTGGGAACGTGGTGCCTTGCCTACCCCCAGGGCAGGAGACCGCATGCAGCCCCGTCCATAGCCTCAATCCATCAGTGCCCCCTCTCCATTCATTAGCATCCTCCTAGTGGCACCAACATCATCCCGGCGTGGAAACTCGGTGCTCCACCCGATCATCGATCACATCTCATCTTTCATCCTCTCCTCTCTCTCCCCCAGACTTGTCATCTGCAAGGACTCGGATCGGTGTGCAGATGGGAGCTCCACCTTGCGTGGGTTGGGAAATTTAGAAATCAACCATAGGACAGAACTATCGGATCGAATCTGGCGATGGAGAGATGTTTTCGAACTGCCACTTTTTTTTCCAATTCCTAACTGCGACTTAACAAAGTTGTGCCTTCGATGTAAAAGAATTCAGAGGTGCCTCCATACTGATGAGTCCATGATTTGATGGCGTTCCAATGCTCTTGCTGGGCAGTGAAGCCTAAACCCCGGGCTGTGTGCTGTGCAGAGCTGGGATCGGCCAGATTCTGCAGGGCAGGTAGTACAGTCAGCTCCTCCGGCTACACACAGCTCGCTCCACCGGACTGCACGCACTGCTTGTGTAGTGAGCCCGGTAACAAACCAGGTAACCAGGGGATGCTGAACTGTCATGACAATGACAGCTCACTGGAGCCGCCCGTGATATCAAGGCCGGCTCCGCTGAGCTCTCATGACAGTTCAGCATCCCCTGGTTACCTGGAAACCAGGGGACGCTGAACTGTCATGAAAGCTTAGCAGAGCCGGTGTAAGAGTCCAGGGATTACTACGCAATGCGCCAATGGCGTGTTGCCGCAAGAGGAAATCCGCACCAACTGCGCATGCACCAAAGACGCGTCAGTGCGCCAACCCGCGCATGCGCAGAAGACCTGATGGAAAAAGGCGGGAAAATGCCCAGGAGGCGCACAGGAAGTGACCTCAAACTTCAATCATCACTTCCCTATATAAGCCCAGCCCAGACACTGCCAAATTGCTGGATTATCTTCAGTTCCCCTTGTTCCTGTGCTAGTGTGTGATCTGTCTGAACTTGTTGTGACCTGGAAACCTATTTGACTACTCTTGATTGCTGCCTGCCATTGACCTCGGATTTGTACCTTGACCATTCTACTTCTTTGCCCCTTTTGTACTCAGCTGCCAGATTGGAACCGACCCTGGCTTGGATCTCGACCATTCTTCTGGCATACTTCGATGCCAGAGTGGACTTGACCTCGGCTCGGATCTCGGAGTAAGGCTTGCACGGTGCTCCGCACCCCTGGCACCCGTGCCACTCGGTGTCCACCAAATCTCTGTCTCCATCTCCAGAGACTTCAAGGACCTGAGGTGCAAGGGGGGCCTCCCCACTACTTCCGTCTCACCTCAGGTACGTGGCCCCCGTGACAGCCAGCCTTGATATCACCGCCGGCTCCGCCGAGCACTCATTGTAATGACAGCTGGTCCCGGCCAATAGAAAACAGTTGGGCGGAGCTAGCTGTCACTGCTGGCTCTGACCAATAGTTTTCTACTGTTTTTCTATTCTGCTCGGTACCACGGAGTTACCGAGCAGAATAGCCAAGCCGAATGCCGCTTGGCGGCATTCAGCTATTCACTCACTGCTGTTCGGGCCCTATGAGAATAGGCCGAACAGCATTGTGTAGCCTGCCGGAGGTTCGGCTCAGCCCATCCAGATGTTGGATCGGCTGAGTCGAACTCCTTCTGCACTTTGGGTCGGCCAAACATGCTGATCATGTTCGGCCGACCCGAAGCAAGTCGATGTACGGCTGATTTCAGCCGATATATGGCTGAAATCAGCTGTACAAGCCTGAAGTGAATAGCTGAACAGCGTTCGGCTCACTTCACTTCGGGTTGGTTATTTACACGGCTGCCTTCGGCAGCTTTGTGAATAACCCTTTTACTAATAGTGGGGATATCTGGTATGAGATACAAAAAAGGGACATATGGGGGGATTTTATGATTTTTTTTTGTATTTGTGTAAATTGCAATGGTTTTTAACCTTATGTGTTGTGTTGACTATATACAGAAATAGAAGGTTTTTGTGCAGTATAAGCAGTGGCCTCTATATTGAACTATATATCACTGATTTCATGAGATATGGCTTCTAGAGTTCAGCAAACAGGTTATTGTGTGTTCTTTGGTTTAATCAATGATCAGTCTAGCCACTAATGAATAGTGAGTAACTATTGTTGGGACACAGTGAGTCTCAATAGCACTATACCAGAGGTAGGGGACATAAACATCTTGTTACTCAAGAGATAGTTTGGAAAATATTGTGGTCCTGTAAAAACCTCAAAAGTGTGGAACAGAGTACCCTCCTGTCTGCAATCCCTTCAACACAAGGCAGAGTAGGATGTGAATAATTTGGCCAAAAAGTATAGAGTCAAATACCATTATAGTGTCATCTTTTGGGAAATGTCCTAAAGATTAACACAATGGGAGGTAGTACAATTGGCCTTAAGGGTTTGGAGCCACTGAAAAGTAGTTTAACTCTAAAATCTCTCCCAATTAAGAAAGGAGCAGATTTAGTAAAAATTAACTTATCATGAAGCATGTTGTACAATATTGTAATCTTTTTCCCTCGAGGCATGGAAGAGGTGAAGGTTTGCCAAGCTGTTAGGTGGATTGTGAAAGCTGGGTAATTATTATGTTGAATGAAGTAGATCATTTGTGGATGTGCTCCTGGTAAGGCAGATCATAGTCAGCAGATAGTGAAGAGAACATTTTAAACCCAGAACTAGTGTACAAATATTTAATCCTTATAATCTCTCTCAGCTTGTGAGGTGGTGTATAAGACTATAAAAAAAATAAAATAAAAAGTGAATCAGTGAACTGATAAAAGTCTGGTTTGCTGGAAAATCGTCAAACCCAGCGTGAGATCCTTGCTGAGGGGAGGGTAATAGACACGTACTTAGATATTATAACATTACAGGGGGACCTGGATAAAGTTGAGGAGTGGGCAACTATATGGCAGATGAGGTTCAATGTTGATAAATGTAAAGTTATGCACTTTGGGGTTAAAAATAGGTAAGCGGATTACACATTAATGGGAACTCCACTAGGGAAGTCGCAAATGGAAAAATTTGGGGGTCATTGTAGACCACAGGTTGAATAACAGCTTGCAATGCCAGGCCGTGGTAAACAAAGCGAGTAGGGTCCTGTCCT